CCCCCCCCCGCCCGTCCCCAAGCCAGGGACAGCTGCCCCGGCTCCCACGCCCTGACCCCATGACGTTCCCCGGCCCTAGCAACCCACGAGGCTGGAGCCAGGTGCCCCAGAGAGCAGGCTGCATTTGGCAGCTGCCTGGTGCCAGCCAGCTGGGGGAGCAGGTGGTGGCAGCATGAAGAGGCCCCCTCCCTCCCCTGCCCATCTCCGGCAAACAGCCCTGGCCAATGAGGCGGCAGCTGCCCTGCCTCTGGGGTGGCCCTGCCCGGGGCCCAGGAACGTGGGCCCAGGTTGCTCCGGCAGCCGACAGCCCTGGGGAACGGCCCCGTCCGCCCCTTCTCCGATTGCATCAGCCTTGCCAGGGAGAGCAGGTGGCAGGAGCTAACGAGGGAGCGATCGGGAGGGGGGGCTGTCAGAGCTCCCTGGCAGCAGGGGGGTGGCATTGCCAGGGAGAGGAGGGTGGCGACCTCTCCATCTCTCCCACCCTGACACAAACCTGCTCCCTGTTGCAAGGGCTTCTGGGAACCTGGCTCACAGGCCCAACGATGGGAATCGAAGCTAAGTCCCACCTGGTCTCTGCTCTAACCACTCGACCCCACTCCCCTCCCAGAGCCCAGATAGAACCCGGAGGCCTGGTGTTTCGCTTTATGACTGACCGTGTTTGCCCAGAGCTACTGAAGCCAGGCAGGGGGACCCTCTGCCCACCCAGCAGCTCTGGCCAGAGAGGATGGGCCATCTAGGACCACACAGGATGGGCGAGGTGCCGGGAGAGGCTGAGTAGCTGGCCAAAGGCAATAAAACAAAGCCCCCTGCAAATCTTCCATCTCTTTGGCTGTTTGAACTCGGGGGGGCAGCGAAGCCAAACGGAAGCCCGAGGCCCCCAAGGGCTGCCCTGAGAGACACGCTGACCTGACAGCTCACAGGAGCCGGCTGGTAACTCACAGGGGGGATGTTCACTGGCTTGCTCCTGGAACGAGCTCCGATTTCTCCTGCCAGTTAACAACCTTTGGCCGGGTTAGCCCTGACTACGGGCACCGGTCGGCGCTGGGCTGCTGGGGCTGGAAGCTGCCTGGCCACGTGTGTCCGGGTGGGGAGCAGTCGTGACTGAGCCCAGAGCTCGCAGTCACCCCTACCTGGGGGAGATCTCATTACAGAGCTCGCTGGCTGCCAGCTGCAGGCCTCTGCCATTTGTTCCAGGCTGCCCTGGGGTTGGCACCCTCATGCTCCAGCCAGCAAGATGCTGACTTCCTTCCAGAACCGAGCATAGAACCCAGGAGTCCTGCCTCCTGGCCGCCCCCTGATGCTTCAACCACTAGACCCAGCTCCCCCAATCTCTCTGGATGGCTCACTGCTGCAGAGCCTGCTCCTCACTAAACCAGGCAGCCTCTCTGCCCCCCAAGTCGCCATTGCCCACTAGGCTGTCCCAGGTGGGGACAGAGCCAGGCTGTGCTGGATGCAGGGGATGCCCCAGGCCGGGAAGGGGGACAGAGCCTGCCCGGGGAGAGGCCGTGCAGGGAGAGAGGGCAAGGGGGAGAGTTGGCTCCAGGAACTGGCCACACGGCACCAGGAGGGAAACTCTTTGGAAAAGTCAGAAATGCTGGTAATCGGAGTGTGCCACCCACGGCCGGTGCCCACTCAATGCCCGCTGCCTTCCCCTTCTCCTGGACTCCACCCCCCTAGCCCTTGCCCCCCGAGCTCACTGCCCCTGAGCCCCCCAGCAGGGCCTGCCCTGA